ACAGTTCACCGCTGAATCTCGATAACCACTTTTAGTTATGAATTCTCACCATTTCATGGTAGGTCTTTCTGTTCTTTTTGTATTCAAAACTCTATAGATCCTCTATCTAAAATGAATCGTGTATATAGAATATATAAGTATATACTCATATACATACAATGTGTATTCGTATATGTGCGCATAAACAATCAACTAAATTAAATCTTATCTCTCGACCAACAGATGCGAGGCGTTTCTGTGTTGGCTCTGGTGTGCATGGTGTCCGCTGCGAAGCTGCCAGGATACAGTGCCGGAGGCGACTCTGGCTTGGGCGTCGATCTCGGCGGCGTAGGAGGCCACGCCGGCGGCGCAGGAGGAGCAGGAAGCGTTTTCCAGGCCGTTTTCGTCGGCAGCGGAAACCTTCCTGCTACTGCTTTTGGAGGCGCTGCTGGAGGTTTCTCCGGAGGCGCTGCTGGAGGTTTCTCCGGAGGCGCTGCTGGAGGCTTTGGCGGCGGCGCTGTTGGACAGGAGTACTCTGGGCCAAGCACAGGCCCCGTTGCCCCTGTTGTTACCGTTGAAGAGGAATACACCGGCCCCGTTGCCGCCGTGTCTCCTGTTGTTACCGTAGAAGAGGAATACTCTGGGCCAAGCACCGGCCCCGTTAACCCTGTTGTACCCATCGTCGCCGTTGAAGAGGAGTACAATGGGCCAAGCATCGACGCTGGCCCCGTTGCCGCCGTCTCTCCTATCATTACCGTTGACGAAGTATATGATGTACCCGTTGCCCCTGTTGCAACCGTTGACGAAGAATACGGTGCTCCCGTTCCACCCGTTCCAACCATTGAAGAAGAGTACACTGAGCCCAGCGAAGTCGCCCATGTCAGCCCCCCTGTTAGCGAATATATTTCACCAAACCACTAAAGCTTTATGCTGCTGGATCAAATGAGGCATTTCACCATAAAGCTTTTATTTATAACAAATATACCCAATGAAGTCCATCCGATATTCATTAAATGAGCACATCCTTAAAACTTAGTTTTATTGAAGCCATAAAAAGATCTTGTATTCTCGAAATATATGTGCAGAAAAAATCCCCTGAAATTATTTGTTGATAATGTAAGCAAGATGATATTTTGCTTCAATACTAATGATAGTAATAGCCGAAATAACATCGATAATCAAATTATTTAATATAACAAGAATGATAATAAAACATTTACAAAACAAGCATGAACAATCTTATATTATTTTGCTTATCAAAATGTAGGAAATAGTCAAGATACCCGAATAAAGAAAAAAAAATCTATAATATAACTATTTGCTATCCTGTGTGTAGACTACGATTTTTGCATTATTGCATACTGCCGTTTTGGAATTAACGATATTTTTCACATACACTTAAATATAATTTGTTGAAAGGGGAAACACCGTTAGAATGAAACTACTTGTTATACAGCTTTCTTTGACAAAATTGCTTATATATTCAGCTTCTAAAAATAAAAACCTGCTTGTTTGAGGATAAATGTTGGCTACATTGTATCATTTACTCGGTTATAATAAACATGCAAAATACATTTATTTTCTGTAGTATTTTCTTCTGGCCGGGGCGGGATTTCCCTAATTGTGGGCCCAGTGTCACAGCCATCATCGGATTTACTGAAAGGCCCTTATACTGGTAAGTTCCTATAAATCAAGCTCTATATCCATAGTACAAAAGCCCAAATAGCTGCCAATATCTATAATGAAATAATCGGTGTACACTTGGGACAGCGTTATACCTGCCACAGTTTGACAGCTTAGTTTCAATGGGCCCCTTAATATCGATGGGAACTGAGTCAATAGGCTACTTCGCCTATTAGTAATCCATTCATGCTTCTGGGACAAGAAATATGTTTCAATTCTGATCCTCACTGTACGAAAAGATTGGAAAAGGCTTGGCATATAAAAGAAAGTAGAATTCTCTTAGTAATATTATGTCCACTTGAAATTATGAATATCACAATATCGTCGTAAGTATTACACTTGGCATATAAAAGAAAGTAGAATTCTCTTAGTAATATTATGTCCACTTGAAATTATGAATATCACAATATCGTCGTATTATATTACAGTTATTATTATACCTTCATTGTTTTATTGCAATTAAACAATAAAGGTATAATAATAACTAATAGGTGATGGTAACAATATCAACGATAATCGTGTGATAACGATTTAAATGGTGATGATAATGACAATTCAAAAGTTAAAATGAAAACAAATGCTAACAAAGACAAGTCTCTATCAATCAAATCTTTTACAGTATTTATTATACCAAATGTAATACTTCTATGGTTGTGCTTTAATTGCAAGATGAATTTTCTACCTTTTTCTTATAAGATAATTATAGGTAACAATTTAGTATTTTTTTCGGCTCGTGTCTCTTATTCTACCATCAGTATTATTTTTTTATTCTTATATATTTGTAAAACTATAGTTGTTAATCTATTATAGTGTATTTTTTTCCGCAAGTACACAATTACATATACATCTAGAATTATCAACATAATTGCAGCCACAATAGTGTATTCCAAAGATAAAATGAAGCGCACTATAACAAGCATGGTATAATGAAGAGTAGCCATACTACTCATCAGCCTAATCTATACAATAGAGGCAAGTTTACCTCAAAACTCTACGATTATTCCCTTCTTGCTGTTGGTACTTTGCATTTAATATTGATGTACTGCAAACATCTTTGAAATACCATGTCTTCCTCCTGAAAAGCTAATATGAAAAAAAATCATTCAGTAAGTATTGAGTAACAGGAAAATACTCTTGCCCTACTATGCCAGTCATCCAACAACCGAAGAAAAACAACTAAAAGTGAGATCCAGCATCTGCTTGACCTTGTGCTAAAAGTACAAGCAAGTATAAATACGTGGCGGAGTTCAGGCAGTGTCACACTTCATCGTTTGTGTCTGGTCTTTCCTCTTGTGTAGGAGCAAAGTTATCTTTTCAATCATGAATATGGTGAGAAAAGACTTTATATCAGTATTTGTCTTGCGAATATTATTGTTAATTAATAATTAAAATGTGTGCTACATTTGGTGAGCAAATATAATACTATAACGTTACAACCAACAGATGCGAAATATCTCCGTGCTGGTTATGGTGTGCATGGTGTCCGCTGCGAAGCTGCCAGGATACAGTGCCGGAGGCGACTCTGGCTTGGGCGTCGATCTCGGCGGCGCAGGAGGCCACGCCGGCGGCGCAGGAGGAGCAGGAAGCGTTTTCCAGGCCGTTTTCGTCGGCAGAGGAAACCTTCCTGCTAGTGCTTTTGGAGGCGCTGCTGGAGGTTTCTCCGGAGGCGCTGCTGGAGGCTTTGGCGGCGGCGCTGTTGGACAGGAGTACTCTGGGCCAAGCACAGGCCCCGTTGCCCCTGTTGTTGCCGTTGAAGAGGAATACACCGGCCCCGTTGCCGCCGTGTCTCCTGTTGTCACTGTGGAAGAGGAATACACTGGGCCAAGCACTGGACCTGTTGGCCCTGTTGTACCCATCGTTGCCGTTGAAGAGGAGTACACTGGGCCAAGTATCGAGGCTGGCCCCGTTGTGTCTGTTGACGAAGAATACAGCGCTCCCGTTGCCCCCGTGGCTCCCGTTGTCCCTGTTCCAACCGTTGACGAGGAATACACTGGGCCAAACGAAGTCGCCCACGTCAGCCCCCCTGTTAGCGAATACATCTCGCCAAACCACTAAAGCTTTATCCTGGAACAAGTGAGCCACTGCTCCAATAAGAGCGTTTATTTATCACAAGTTCCCAAGTGAAGTCCTCCCAAAGATCAGTATTGATTAAACACATCCTTATTATAACTAGTTTTACTATAGCCATAAAAGGGTCTCACATTCGCATAACATGCAAAAGAATTGCTTTGAAATCATTTCTTGATAATGTAAGCAGGATGCTTTTTTATGCAATACTAGTAGAAATATCCGTAATAACACTAATGAGTCAAATTACCTAAAAGAATAAATAATTACAAGACAAACATGAACATCTAACATACATATCTAAATGCAGTAATTAGTATAGAATTAGTTGAACAACTGATACCCGAATATAAATAGAAGTCCGTTTATTGTCTACAGAAATAACGATTCTAAAACAGCACTTTTAAAACATATGTGAATAAAATAAACATGTATGAAACTTATTTCATGTATGAACATTTACCAGCCTCCATGCAGACCACGGTTTTTGAAACATTGCCTAGTGTCGTTTATGGAATTTAAGATATTTTCCTTATACATACCAAAAGAAATTTAAAAAAGGGGGGGGGGACGAGTTGGATTAAACGACGTTATTTTCAGTGAACGTAATAAACTATACACATTCATTTCTATAAGCACATAAGCAAAAGCTTGATTGATTGGTTAAAGTCGTCATAGTCCTTAGAAAATAATATTGCATAAGCAAATTACGTTTTTTTTTTGGGGGGGAGGGGGGGCAGGGAATTTGCCAACTAATCCTTCCTGTATGACACTGTCAAACGAAATGTGCCATCTTTTATTGTATAACAATAATAATAAAAATAATAAAAATATACAGAGATGGTATGATGTCTTTAGCTATATAAATAGTTGTGTAATATGTTCTTCACGTACATAGCCGGCAAAAGAAGCTTGAAATAATTTCTTGATAATGTAAACAGGATGCTTTTTTATGCAATTCTAGTAGAAATATCCGTAATAACACTAATGAGTCAAATTACCTAAAAGAATAAATAATTACAAGACAAACATGAACATCTATAACATTTCACATATCTAAATGCAGTAATTAGTATAGAATTAGTTGAGATACCGAATATAAATGAAGTCCGTCTAACTTTTAAAACATATGTGAATTAAAACATGTATGATTTATCATGTACCAGCCTCCATGCAGACCACGGACTTTAGATCATTGCCTAGTGTCGTTTATGGAATTTAAGATATTTTCCTTATACAACCAAAGAAATTTAAAAAAGGGGGGGCGAGTTGGATTAAACGAATTTTCAGTGAACGTAATAACTATAACATTCATTCTATAAGCACATAAGCAAAAGCTTGATTGATTGGTTAAAGTCGCATAGTCCTTAGAAAATAAAGTATAAGCAAATTACGTTTTTTTTTGAGCAACTAATCCTTCCTGTATGACACTGTCAAACGAAATGTGCCATCTTTTATTGTAATAACAATAATAATAAAAATAATAATATACAGAGATGGTATGATGTCTTTATTTTGTATGTCCATTATAAATACTGTGAGGAAAAAATAACATTATTTATCACAGCAAAACATAATTGTTCGTGATGTTACCATGACACAGAAAGCACAACTATCTTACTAACAATTAAAACAGGAGCAGTGGTTACAGAATTGTTTATACTCAAAGTAATATGGGTATGATTGTTATTTGTTGTAAATATGATTGTGCCCTTTTGTAATAAAAGGATAATTGTAGGCAAACTAATGAGTTATTTTAGTTATGTTATATGAACTATCGCGTAACACTTCCCTTTTTTATTCACGTGTCTCTCTTTTTTTTTTTCTTTTTTTTTTTTTATATATCTACCTGATTTTTGTTACTTTCCTTGCGCAGCTTTTTCTCACGTACATGCACTACACTCTGATTATGTTCAACAACAATACAGGCGCAGTTGAGTGTTTCCAAAGGTAAATTAAACGTTCGTAACAAAGTGTATTTAAACACCGCACTTCGAACGTGGCCGGATTTCTCTTCAGACGAAACTGAAATGAAAAGCCACGTCTAACTCGAATCTTTACGATTTATTACTCCCATCTTACTAGTTGTTTTCATTGCATGATCATGCGCTGCAGACTCTTAATGAGTGACTTCCTCATCAGAACCTCAGTATAGAAAACTCATTCAGTGCTTAGCTACAGGAAACTAGTCTTCCCTTGTTACGTCGGTTATTCAGAAATGTCCGGCCTCCAAATAGCGGTGGTCCCTAGTCCAAAGGGGCTACTTGGTCTTTTTTTAATACAGTCATACTTCTGGTACAAGGAATGTGTCAATTTTGATTCTTGCTGTAAGAAAAGATTGGAAACGGTTTGGCATATAGCAAGTAGAATTCTCTGCAATTTTGTTCAGTTTATTGTAAACATTACAATGAAACAATGAAGACATGATTATAACTAATGGGTGAGGGTAATAACATCAATGATACTCATATAAATGATAACGACTTCGTTATCATTTATATTTATACTTTCTTATTTAAGAATAATTACAGGTAACGAATAAGTATTCTTTCGACTCACGTTACCTATTCTACCACTCGTCAGTAATTATTCAATGGTGATGATGATAGTTCAAAAGTAAGAATGAAAACAAATGCTAACAAAGACAAGTCTCAATCAATCAAAACTTTACAGTATTCATTATACTAAAAGGAATACTGCTATAGTTGTTTACTTGCAAATTAATATTTAACCTTTTCTTATTTAAGAATAATTACAGGTAACGAATAAGTATTCTTTCGACTCACGTTACCTATTCTACCACTCGTCAGTAATTCTTTATTTTATTTTTTATTTTTGTTGTTTATTTTTTCATATAGACAAGAATTATTGTTTGTAGAGCTCTCTTATTTGTTCATCTATTTTAGTGCAGCTATACCCGTAAGTAAACAATTACATATGCATCTATGATTATCAACATAAGTGCAAGCGCAATAGTGTGTTTCCAAAGATAATATAAATCACACTGTTACAAGAATGGAATATTGAAAAATCATGTTTCGAACACAGCCGTATTCCTCCTCAGCCTAAACTATGTAATAGAGGCAAGTCGACCTCAAAACTGTACGATTCATTATTACCTTCTTACTGTTGGGGCTTTTAATTTAATATTGAAGTATTGCAATTTGAAATTCTGTGTTCCTCCTGAAAAGCTCAGTATGAACAGATCTCTCTCTCTCTCTCTCTCTCTGTATATATATATATATATATATATATATATATATATATATATATATATATATATATATATATATATTCAATAAGTACTTAGTAACAAGAAAATACTCTTACCTTTACTACGCAAGTCATCCACCAACCGAAGAAAAACAACTAAAAGTGAGATCCAGCATCTGCTTGACCTTGTGCCAAAAGTACAAGCAAGTATAAATACGTGGCTGAGTTCAGGCAGTGTCACACTTCATCGTTTGTGTCTGGTCTTTCCTCTTGTGTAGGAGCAAAGTTATCTTTTCAATCATGAATATGGTGAGAAACGAGATATCAGTATTTGTCTTGCGAGTATTATTGTTAATTATTAATATGTGTGCTACGTTTGTTGAGCAAATATGCTAACACTATAACGTTACAACCAACAGATGCGAAGTATCTCCGTGCTGGCTATGGTGTGCATGGTGTCCGCTGCGAAGCTGCCAGGATACAGTGCCGGAGGCGACTCTGGCTTGGGCGTCGATCTCGGCGGCGTAGGAGGCCACGCCGGCGGCGCAGGAGGAGCAG